TTGTCATAAGATTGACACCGACATTGTCCAATATCTAAACCATCAAGTGTCAATTAAGACACTAATTTTCTACAATGCGTTCAGAAATACATTCTCCCATCTTTCCACCAACTTCTATGAAATAAATTAAATTTTCCTTTATCTCACACACATCACCACACGTTTTTACATATTAAATCACCTGGTTCATTTTTATCTGTTTGAGACACATATAGAGTGCAATCGAGCATTATTGTGTAGTATTTGGCTTTTTAATATCGTTTAAAATGCTACTTCAGACTGTTTTGTCTTTAAGTTAATAACTTCATATTGAATTATCTTTGATAAATATGATTCCTTTGCCTTTGCTAGGTGCTTTGACTGGTACTTAAAGAGTTGAATTATGTTTGGCAAGCGAAGAGATTTTAAATTCAGAAAATTTCCTTCGCTAGGTCGAGGACACTTTGTGAAGAGGTTACTTGGGATTTCATCAGATAAAAAAAAAAAAAAAAAAAAAAAAAAAAAAAAAAAAAAGAACGATAGTTTGTTGAAAGATACAGTACCACATTCATGGTTGTATAGAATTTTTCTCCACTTTTCTTTCTCTGTGTGAATGAGTCGCTCAGTGTCGTGGTCAATGCCTTGGAACAATTTCATTTGCTGTACTTGAATTTTGCACATAATCATGCACCTCTGTGGATTCCAGACCCTTCATGCTCAGTTAATCTTGCTAAAAATTTTCTAATTAATGAATCCTGTAGTATGGTGTAGCGGCAGCACCATGTTTCTGATAAATCTTGCAGGGTGTGCAAAAAATTGGATTCTTGTTTTTAGAATATGTAAATCAAGATCTTCTAAGCTTTTCATTATTTACTAATGTTCTGTATTACATGTCAAATGTCTGCCATCACGTTCAATGGGACTGAGGTTTACGTTTTACCGGATATTTACTTGCTAATAATACTGATTGACTGCTTAAGAAAGATTGTTGGTGATCGTTCATTTTTTCTATGACCAGCCAACTGCATGGGTCCAAAAAATAAAAAATGTTTAGTTTTTCGTCTTTCTGCCTCCCGCCCCCAGCTAAAGGAAGAGATCTTTATATCATGGTTTCATGTCCTCCAGCTATTCGTTTGATGTCGATGAAGAAGGTTGTTCTTTTTAAATGCTGACTTCTAGATTGTTTAAGGATGATATGTGCAGTCATGTTTTGCCGCGCAGATTGCAAGAAATATTAATACCATCTAGAATCTCAGCATAATCGGAATTGCGGCAAGGTCTGATGGTTTATTTCATCCGTAAACTTATTTTTTCATCTTAGCTGAAATTTGTTTTCTCTGTTTGGCCTTATCTTTGGCTCATTTTGTATATTCCGCTTTTCTCCCCCTCGGATCGCGCAGATGGTTTCTTTCAATCTAAATGAAATACACTATGAATTGCCTTAATCATAAGAATAACTAAGAATTGACGTAATTACACTCAACAGTCCTAAATAAATGGTCGCGTCTCGCTAAATATAGTGCTGGCTATTGAAAGCAAGCATATCTAAGAAAAAAAAAAAAAAAAAAAAAAAAGTACAAAAGAGACCTAAATAACTAAAATAATAATATTAATAATAAATCTAGATTTAAAATTCAAAATGCACTCCACTGTTCCGAGTCAAACTAAAGATCAGCCTAAGTTGCCGACTGGCTGCAAAAAAATCTAAATGCCTTGCTTCATCTTGACAGCCTTGCTTCATCTTGACAGCCTTGCTTCATCTTGACAGCCTTGCTTCATCTTGAAGACATAATGACGGTGTCTTATATATATACTCGAAGAATATTAATTCGAATTATTCATTTGTCCAGGATGGCCCAAGGTTAATTTTTTGGGTTAGCTCTTAAAAAAAAGTTATTTCTCCATTTCCCAACAGAAGTTGCTATGGAAACCAGGCGAATTTTTCAACAAGCTATCGTTCTATTTCTTATTTAAATACACCCCGCCCAGACAGGAAACGATAGAGGGACTCCATATGTTACTGATAGGGTCAGTCTGATTCTATCAGAGACGTCAGGAGTCCCTCTATTGGCCTCTTTCTGATCTTATATTTATAGCTGTAATCGGCTGTACCTAACTTTATTTTAACTCATGTTCCTTTGAAAGGATTTTTTGTATTTAATTAGAAATCTTCTTAAAAGACTAACTTCTCTTACTAAACTTGGCCTTAAAACTACACTAAAGTGCCACTGAATTAGGGATAGGTGGTCAATAACGAATTGGGCCTCCTCTGGCCTTTATAATGGCTGCTAAACGACGAAGCATAGATTCAATAAGTTTCTGAAGGCATTCTACGGAAATGGCTTGCCAAACATCAGATAGAGCTGTCTATAATTTAGGAAGAGTCGCTAGTGTTGTGTGATGAGGTTACAAACTTTTCTCCAAAACATCCGAAAGATGCTCAGAAGAACTTAAGTCAGGGCTCTTAAGTAGCCAATTTATGACATAGAAGTCAGAAGAATGCTCATCCAACCAGGCAGTAGCTAACCGGGACTTAAGAGAGGTGCAGTTATCTCGCTGGGGTACTCCATTTCCGTGTGAATGACAGGAGACTCTAAGTGGATGGAGATGATGCCCAACAACTCTACGTACCGAATCATATTGAGAAAGATTGGTACTAGTACCAAAGATCCCAAACACTGCCAAAATAAAACATCCCACACCATGATTAAGCCACCATGGCCTTGTAGAGTTCCAATTTGCCATACAGGATTCATGACTTCATGTGTTTGACGCCATATTCTCAGCCTCCCATCGGTCGGTTAATTAGTCGGAATCGAGACTCATCACTCCTTGCTACTTATTCCAAGTCTACTAGAGTCTATTCTCTGTATTCTCTTGCCCAAGCAAGAAGTGCAGCTCGATGGCATGCATTCTGCAAAGGTACTCGCGTAGGTCTATGGCTTCCGAAGCCCCATATGGTGAAGGAAGCGTTTCACGACCCTTTTACTGACTGTAGGACTGTCGCTCTGCGGAGGGGGAATTTGAGCTAATGTTTGGCTTCGCTGGCTATGTACAATACGGCTGAGCCGTCTCACACCATACTTGTTCTAAGTTAATTGTCCTTTGCAATTTGCCCGATCGCTAGTTCTTTATCCAGCCATGCGTGTATTCTCGGTATACTCTTGACACTGTCAACCTTGAAAATCCTGGCCGCTGAGGATTTTGGAAATTGAATGGCCCATGCGTGGAGTGCTTACATCTGTCCGAGATTGAAGCTGTCTAAATCAGAAGTTTTACCCATCCTAATAATTGAAACAAATGATTAACAACAACCATAGTACTAGCTGTATGTACATTTTACCCCCAACTTCCTCACGTCAGCACAGATCCCGCGGAGCGCTATAAAATTTGCATAGCCATGTCTATCCCTAATTCAGAGGCACTTCAGTGTATTGACATTGTACTAAAATTAGAGAACTGTTTTAGCTAATAACATACCAAATACGATCTAGAGATCTAGAGTTATATTTGAATTTGCCACCCGCAAAAGTTGCCGCCCGGGGCAAGAGCCCCGGCTTGCTACCGCTAGATCCGGGACTGATCTCTACAACACACAATGGATCTTCAAAAATGTTTTAGAAATTTAAGATACTTTTTTTTAACTAATTTATAATATGATTATTATATTTTTGAATAAAATAATTCGCTAAACGCAATTTCAGTTCACTTTTTAAATTCGTTTCATTCGTTCGTTGAAATCATTCGTTTGAATAACGCTTTTCTTTTTTACACTACCTTTTTATTGATCTGTTCGTCCATTTTCACACTGGGTATGCCGCAAAAAAGCTAACTGAAGAAATATCGTATCGTAAATGGTAATATAAGAGAACACTTTTTAATTGTTTTAAGTAGTTATTTGATGTAACAAATGTTTACAAACGAGAAATTGTATGTTAAAAAAGCGTGTTTTATACATTCTTATATGTATATAAATTATTTAAACTTCAAATAAATGAGTAATCTACTTCCTAGGATAACCAATTAATGCATAATGGATTACTTATAACCAGTTAATACAAGGTAGTAGTAGAACGGGTACCTCGCAAAGCTATTGTTGCTGCCTTAGCGCTTAATTAAAAATGTTTACTAATTTATACTCACAATTTTAATTTATATATATATATATTTACATATATATGTAAATGAATAAAAACGAAGTAAAAAGCAGTTCAAAACCTAATCCAATTGCGCGCTGACAGCAACAAAGAGGTTATAAAGCCAAATAAATAAAATAAATGAAATTAATATGTTTAAAATCAATCCCATATTCAATTTATATGCAAAACTTAAAAAAAAAAAAAAAAAAAAAAAAAAAAGGAAAGAAAGAAAGAAAAAGAAAAAGTGCAGTGGCAAACTGCATGAAAAAAGGTGCAAAAAGTTTTAAATCCAAAAAGGAAAAGGACAAAAGTTATTTACATCTTTCGCTGGAAGTAAAATGAGTGAAAATGTAGAAATTTTATGACTGAAGCAAGTAACGTAAACTTTACAGAATAAATCTTCCCTCTAAACTGAAATCCCTTTTAATAAAAAAATCTAATGCATTTAACCTGAGCCTAACAATTCTAAAATATGAATCACATTGAAAATTTGGGTTTTGTTTGATAACACAGCTACTGCAATTTTGTCAATGATACGGAATCTAAAAACGTAAACCTATGAACAATTTTACTTACTTTTTTGCAATGAAACAGATGAAATTACACGTAAACACACACACCACACACACACACACACACACAGAAAAAAAAAAAAAAAAAAAAAAAAAAAAAAAACATGTTTAGAAAATTTCACTATTTTCCCTTCTCCTTGTTATTTTATATTATTTATTTTTTACTGGAAAAAAATCGCTAAATAATAGCTACTTTTACTTAATTGCTACTTTCACACAGATTCCTAACAGATGGCGCCAGCAGCAAAAAACAATTTTGCATTTATATTTACGAAAATTTCTTCAACGCACCACCTAGATATATTACAGTGAAATGTGCAAACTGAACTTCTTTTTCTGCCTGAAAAATGAATATTTAAATCTTTTAGTAAGTAAGACTTATTAAAAAATGCTAAGATGAATTTTCTTTGAATTATATGGCTTTTATGTGTGTGACATAATTTCTTTGATGAACATCAATCAGTATTAAATTCTTATTATTTTCCTGATATTTACAGTTCTTTCAACATAATTTATTATATTATATTTTTGCTGTTCCGTTTTTTGTAGGTAAAACATTTGTGAAAATATTACGTCGAGGAATAATATCGAGCCATATGTACACTAACAATCGAATTTGATGTTCGCTTATCTTTATCAGTATCTTATATACGTCCTTGCAACAATACATTTTTATAGAGTAGTTTACTTTTATAACTATAAATAGAGCATCCAGTAAATTAATAAACAATAAAATTATTAAAAAAATATTATTAGTGAATTTGTTTTTGTAAGCTTTTTAAACAAACATCTTCGAGTCCCCAGTGGCGCAATTGGTTAGCGCACGGTACTTATAAGGCAGTACTTGTGAGTTATGCCGGGGTTGTGAGTTCGAGCCTCACCTGGGGAAGTAGCATTTTTTTATTGGATATTAAACCCATCGAAAAAGGCACAAACTTAAAAAAAAAAAAAAAAAAAAAAAAAAAAAAGGTTTAATAAAAATATTCACTTAACTTACAAAATTTTTAAATTGAAGAATACAAACTCCCCATAGTTTTTAAAAGCATTTCATTTACTCAAGAACGTGAAGTATTTATTATATGTTTAAATTTTAATTCTCAAAAGATTGTATTAGAAAAAGTACATCGAAGTTAACTTCGTCTGATACACATATTCCCGCTTTAAAAAAAAAAAAATTGTACTATATAAAGGTTATGTCCTTTATATAGTACAATTGAGTCATATGAAATAGAAATTGAAGTCATATGAAATATTTTATTGGAATCAAGCGAATAAATGTTCTTTAATTTGCTAACTATGACAGTGTTAAATTGTTGTATCAATTAAATCATGGAAAACTAGCTATAAATCTATGAATGACATTTAAGCGATTAAGATCGAATTTTATATTTAATATGAATCAATTATAATTCTGACATGAAACGTCATTTAAGCGAAATTTGCGAAATTTGATTCATTTAATCTATTTCTTTACGTAAGAATTTTAACCTTATTGTTAGATCTCAAAAAGAGAAGAGGTATTAATTATTTCAGAGCAATGTAAGAACAGGATAATTTTTTTTCAGTTTTCGATACCTTTATTACCAGTGATGGGATTTAACCGGTTTAGCAGAACTGATTATTTAAATACTTTTGGCTCGTCTAGCTGCTTATTAAAATTGACTTTTAATATTTATTTAAATAATTTATCTCAACTTAATAGCTTTGTATCGTTTATCCGGTAATCAACTAGACTTAAATTTGTTTAATCAAATCTGTTTGCAGTATGTATAGAGAATATGGGGCTATGTAACTTCAAATGAGAATTAATAGTTGTGATCTTTGTCGTAAATTTTTCAAATATTGCAATCCCATAAATATTTCTTCCAGATATCATAAATGAATGAGTTATAAAGAAATACGATATAAAATAACAGAAAGACGAAAGTTGCACATTGTGAGGTTATCATTTATTTAGTAATTTATCCAAATATCATTTATTCAGTAATTTATCCATTTATCCAAAAATATTGTTCGTGATTTACTTAACAAAACGTTTATTAATAAACACATTTATTTTAGAAGCCAATGTAGTATGTCTTAACATTTTTACCCTAGTAAAGTTTTTAAAAATAATTCTTAAAATTGTTTCAAAAATTCTTGAAATCGTTCATGTAGAGCAACAAAAACTCTTAACAGAGAGAATATTGGACATTAATACTTTTCTTCTGTTTTTTACCTAATTTTTTTTTATATTTAATAATTCTGTTCTGCACTTTACTATATCTATATTATTATACAGAGGCTGTTCGCATATTTTTTAGACGATTTTGGTAAGCGGTAATAAAAAATCGTTTGCTGCAAAAGAAGTAATTGAAATTGTACTATGTTTTTAAAAGTCAAAATTATTGTCTGTGGCTTGAAAGTTTTGTTTTTATTCAAAATGGCGAATTTAACAAAGCAGTGGTTCGAAGGGTACATTTACGCTCTTTCCGAAGAGAAATATGCATACTTCGTTATCCAAAAACGATGTGAGAGTCATGGTTTTGTGATATCTAAATAGTCGATAGGTAATATCATCAACAAGAAAGGAAAAAAAACGTCAAATTGGAGCCTCAAGTTGGACAAAAATTCCAAACAAGTATCCAAGGAAAAAACGGACATCTTCGACTATTGCAAAGGTACGTTGTTTAATGTTAAAATAAAATCCCCCTAGTCAAAGGACAGTTGCAAAATCATTAAAATGCTCGGTGTCCACTGTAAACAAAATGATAAACGTTGATTTAAATCTTAAGAAAGCGAAAAAACGCAATGTACATCGTTTTCTTCCAAAGCATATCGCTCAACGCAGGACACGCTGCAGAATTCTATATGAGAAACACTTATCCAAAGAAAAGTGAGTGAGTGGGGTTTTTGGCGCAAAACCAAAGATGATTATGACACGCCAAACACAAGGTGAGATGATCAAAATTTATGAAATTAAAATACAATAAATAAAAACAAGTGGACAAATGTACCAAATCCAGAGGATGCAGTCATATAAAAACAAGGTAAAAACACACATTAAAATCCAAGACAGAATCCTCAAAACAAATTAAATTAGGTAGTAAAAGCCTGTCTCTTTTAAATAATAAAATAAATTACGATTAGCCTCTCTTCCGATTAAACGGTCGAGAGGTAAGTCACATTATCCAAAGAAAAATGGAAAACAATTGCCACAATAGATGAAGCATGTTTGTATTTAAATAATTGTAACAAAAAAGAGCACATTTATTATCATAAAAGGGGAGAAAAAATTTTAAGTACATGGTTCAAAGAATCGAAAGAAAGTTTTTCTAAGGGATACATGATTGTTGTTGGTTTTTCTTATAAATAAAGTGCAAAACAATGTCAAGATTAACTCCAAATACTATCAGGAACATATTTTATCGCCAATTTTTCTGAATAAAATACCATAGCTTTACCCACAGTGCCATCAATCTGTGAGACTCCATCAGGACAAAGCTAGCAGTCACACATCAAAATCCACTGCAAATTTCCTAAAAGAAATGGAACAAAAAACTGGTATCAAGGCCATACCCTTCATTGATATCCCTACTAAATCTCCCGATGTGTCACCTATGGATTTTTGTGCTTTCGGACTTTAAAAAACTGCATTATCCAAACGTTATCCCAAAACCCTAACAGGACTCTGGAAGCTGTTCGGGAGGAATGGGATAGAATATCGCTTCTGCCACTTCAAAAGGCTTTATTATCCTGGAAATTGCGGTGTCGAAAGATAGTTCAGAATAACGGACGTCAAATAGAATAATTAAAACACAATAATTTTATGTAATTTAGTTTTGTGAATACAATATACATCGTCTAAAAAATGTGTGAACAGCCTCTGTATAAAGAACGAAAGAGTGGTTCAAAAAAGCAGAATTACAGTAGAATATTGCTATACGTATGCATATGAAATCCAAGCACTTCACTTTGATTTTAAGATATAATAACGATGACATTTTTAAGTTTGATTAAACGTTTAACGTAAGTTTTGCAATTTGATTAAATCTTTTATACAAACATCTAGTTAAATAAACAATACAGTTTAATATAAACTAACAGTTAACAGTTTCTAAACAGTTTAATATAAACTTCTGATGCAGAATTTGAAATTTAGTATTTAAATAGGCGTTTGTTTTAAAGATGAGAAAAATCGTACATTTTCTCGAAACATTAATATAAAAACAATAACAAACTTTTATTTAATATTAAAAATTTTGATAAAGTAAAATTTGAAATCTGCATTTACGGAAAAAAATGAGATGACAGTACTTTATATCAAAAAATTAACAGTACATATTTTTTAAATATCTGCATTCATTAGAGAGATATAACGAAAACTGATGAATAAAGTAGATAATTAAAACTCTTGAATCCTGGTTCATTTACCCAACATAGTTTGCCAAAAAAATTTCGGTAACGATCCAAAATTTGTATTTTTTAAAAAATCTTTTTAATTAAACCAAGTATAAATTAGCACCAATAAGCCCTGAATTACCGAACGCGAAACTATCTTCAGAAAATTAAGAATGTGGTACTGAGAACCGTCTAGAGATGCAAATGTGGAAACTGTCTGCCAGCTCCTCGAGTATATGAAGCATTTTTCGACAAATTTATAGCTACTTTTGAGAGTTTTAATGCACGCAAGGGTCCCTAAAAATCCTCAAAAATCTGGGGGTCCAGGAAAGCCTTGACAAAGTGCTATTGGTATAATCTAAGTAACCAAATCGCAAAAGCCGCATCCATGTTTTAACGAACTTCTAAAGTCAATAAATTAACCCTTCCAAAGTTGAGTTAAGGTGCTTAAGGTTTAAGTTAGAATTTGAAAGATTCGAAAAATAAAAAAAGTATGAGTATTTGAGTTTTTAATTTTTTTTTAAGATTTGCAAAAAAAAAAGTAAAAAAAAATTCCTTTGAAGATTTAAATTGAAATCCCTTGTTTTTACTTCATAAAAAAAAAGAACTGGCTTCTTTTTGAAACACTCCACATAAAAAAATAAAAAACTTTTTGCAAGTAATTATATTCAAATATATATTAAAATGAAAAATAATTGCAATATGTAATGCTTCAACAAATTATAAGACAAAATAAATATTCAACTACTTATAAATTTCTTCTGCTTTCTAATACAAACCTAATGCATTTAAAAAGAGTTTACAGAATGAAAAACGCGTTAGCATTTCTTGAGGAAAACTAATTTAAAAAAACTCATTTTCTAATGGAATTTAAAATTTGCTTCAACGAACACTAAAACTTGTTATTGTACATAGATGGCGCCACATGCATAACACTTCGCAGTTTCGTATACTTGAGAAACCTTTGAATGCTGCTTCATTTTGAAT